GGAAAATTAAGATTGCGTGTGCCGTCTGGGCGCTATCGGCCACGCTAGCGTTCCTGGTCTGGGTGACAGATGGGGGTCAGAGGGTTCACTCACCAATAAACCTTAAGGATGTCCAAGAGATTGTTAAAGCCATTGCGGATAAAGGGCTTCATTCTGCAATGGTCTCCACCCTCATAAATGGTGTTTTCAGGGGAGACGACATGCTCCCGTTTGATATTAAACAAACTTGTCGACTGATCTTTGACGGGGGTGGGGATGATTTTTTTAAACAAGAATGGGAGGACAACTGCATGAGACTACTGGCCCAAGTAACTGGGGTGGATCACCCACTATATGGCTCTAGCCTACAGTGGATAATGGGTATGGACCCAACAATGATCACCACTCAGGCGCAAGTCCAGGGCCTGCCGGCCCATGAAGTTATGGCAACTCGTGTGGCCAGAGAAGCTCCAAACAGCCAACGCCCCAAATTCCAGTGGAAAATGCTGCCTCAAGGAATGATCAACTCGCCTACTATCTGCCAGATCACGGTGGATCGGGTGCTGGTGCCAGTTCGGTGCAGTGACCCGACCGTGACTCAGAATAAAACTAATGAAAACTGAGTTTCTGTTCACAGGAACGGATCATCGGACACCCCCTGTAATCTGTATACCCCGGTGACAAGAGAAGACAATAATGAAGGTGACACTGATGTGTAGGAAAACTGGATGTGTGTCACCAAGCACAAGGGCCAGGGAAGGGACCCCAAACGCCAGGAAAGGGATATCCCTTCCCTTCATACCTTGCTCAGGGTTCTTTGTGGGGCAGTAGGAGATGGGGATGTGCATGGCCAAGTGCAGGAGAATGGTATGAGCCCTGCCTGCTTCATGGGTGGGGGCGAGGAGGCAATGAGGCCCTGGTTCTTCAATGATAAGCTGTGTCCTCATAGGCCTCAGTGACAGAGACAACAGCAAGGACCTGGGTACTGTTGGGACTTTCAGCCTTGGTAGAGCCCATGATCCTCTCCACACCAGGCTGTCCTAGGAAATCCCAGTCCTGTACCTTTTTCCCTGTTCCTGTAGACCATTGTGTTTGTGGCATCTCACTGTATCTGAGCTGAGTCTACTCTTCGTAAGGCAGCTCTGTAGGAAGCTGACCTGATTCCTGGTAAGCAGGCACCACTGCTCGTATGGCATCCCTCATGGTGCCCAGGCCTTCCTCCTCCTGGGCACTGCTCACGCAACAGGGTCCCTGTCTGCCCTGATGTGTGGGGTTCCTCTTCTGGTGAAGTACGAGGCTCGTCTCCTTGTAAACGAAAAGTTTTTCTATAGGCAAAATTCTGCAGTTTCTCAAGGTTCCTTCACACTGATGCTCCATTCTGTCAGCCATTCATGGCTGCAGGCAGATGGTTCAACCTTTGTGTGATTGTGCTATCTCTGAGAAGAGAGAGTTGCAGGAAATTTTGGATAATACAGGAGTGACCAGTTGAATGGAATTGCAGCACAGAGTCACTGAAGGATAGGGGATGGAAGGCTGTCAGATTCCATTTCTTCTGTCTTCCTTCTCATGCATGCTGTCAGTTTCTCTGGAGCTGTGTCCTGAATGTTATGGGGCTGTGCAGGTAAAAGTTACAAGGGCCAAACCCAGCTGGAGTTCAATTTGGCTATGACTGTAAAAGACAATAAAAAAACTGTTTATATAAATACTTTAAATAAAGCAGGATTAAGGAGAATCATCATCCCTTATTAGATGTGGGGAGAATCTGGTGAATATCTAGAGATAAGATAAAGGCAGAGGTACTTAATGCTTTCTTTGTCTCTGACTCTAGCAGCAAGACCAGTTGTTACCCTGGACATTTCTTCCTCCTCATGGCCAGTGCCAACCTTCCAGGGCACACTTAGTGGGTGTTTCTTCTCACCTGCTCTTTCCTACTACCAAAGGAAGCTCCATCAGGGTGGATGGAGCTCCTGAAGTAGGCATCCCAACACAGCAGGCTCCTTGCGGCCTCTCAGCCAACCTGACACAAGTCACCTCAGCAGCATCTTCCAAGCCTTCTGCCTCCTGCTGCCCAGTCATGGACTCAAACACAAGGGACAGGACAACCCATCTGGGGGCCTTCTTTCTGTCTGGGTCCTCCTGGCTCTAGAGGCAGAGGGGATCCCCCAGTCAGCATGCCAAGCAGGTGCCTTCTGCTGGCCTAGCAGGGCCACTGCCAGATGTCAGCCCAAAAGTGCAGATCCCAGGGAGAAGCCAAGCATGACCTGCCAGCTACAGACAGAAGTGACCTCACAGTCCCTTTCTGTGACACGATCCTGCTGGTGCCCTATCAAGTGCAGAGACAGAAGTGACCTCACAGTCCCTGCCACAGTCACATTCCTGCTGCTGGGGCAGGAGATCCTGAGGCAGAGCTGAGCTTTCTCTAGCCCTCTCGGTACCTCTTTTTACTTTCTGGGTTAGAGATTAAGCAAAGTTTTAGTGGGATTGTTTGGTGTTCTGCTTGTGCTGTCACGTCTGTGGTTGAGATATGGATAAGCTTTGTGGTTTACGGGTGTTTTACATCTGCCAAGGAGTTTAGGGTTAAATAGAGCATTTTAATGTTAGTGTTAAGTGAAGGGATTATGGTTATCAAGAAAGAAAATTGATTCTTTTCAGAGTGTTGTAGTAGCATTTATGTTTAAGCGTTAAAATTACTGGCTCAAGTAAGGTAAGGGCCATATGTGACTGTTTTAGGTCAGTGTTACTGCACTGCTGGCATTGCATGAATGCTCTTACCTCTATGAAATCATTAATTTTTGCCGGCCATGCTCCTTTTACCACCCCAAAATCTCACATGTCTCTTGTTCAGGCTGCTCCTGACCTCCCCATATCTTCTTGGGATCAGCTTTCTGATGACATTTACCATCTCAGTGTATCTGTCTCACCTCTGTTGGCTCCTCCATTCCTGAGAAGGAAGTGGCGTTGTAGTCAGGAGGGAGAAGGACACAAAGTTCTTTAGGCGCATCCTGCACAATGAGCCCCATCAGCTCTGCACCTCCACAAAATCACACTTCCTACCTACACGTTTTGTTTCCCAAGTGGCTTCTCTGGATCCAGGGTTCCTTTTCCCAGGCCTTCTCACGTTTCAGTTTTGGATGTTCAAGGATTGCATAAGGAAAGCCAAGGCATGGATGGAACTGGTCTTCTCAAGGGATGCAAGTAATAATAGGAAGAGATCCTATATGTACTTTGCTCAGAAAAGAAAGGCCAAGGACAGTGTACCCCCTTCAGCTGGATGAGAAAGGTGAACTTACAATGACAGACATGCAGAAGCCTGAGGGACTCAACAACATCTTTGCCTCAGTCTTCCCTGCCAATCAACCTTCCCCAAGTCTTTCACTTCCCTGAAGCCATAGATGCAGGCTGGGGGGCAAAGTCCCACCCACTGTAAGTAAAGAGGACGTCTGAGACCACCTGAAGAAACTGAGCACATGCAAGTCTATGGGGCTTGGTGAGGACCATCCAGGTCCTGAGGGAACTGCCTGATGTAGTTGCCAAGCTCTCTCCATATATTTGAAGAGTCCTGGCAGTCAGGTGAAGTCTCTGCTGAATGGAAAAAGGAAACATCACTCCCATTTTTAAAAAGGGTAGAAATGAGAACCCATGGAACTACTGAATGGTGAGCCTCACCTCTGTGCCTGACAAGATCATGGAAAAGATCCTCCTGGAATAAATGTCAAGGCACATGCAAGACAAAGAGGTGATCTCAGACAGCCATCATGGCTTCACCAAAGGATAAATCTTGCCTGACCAATCTGGTGGCTTTCTACAATGGGGTGACTACCTCAGACAACAGAAGACCAGCCTATGTCATCTACTTAGATTTCTGTAAGACCATTGCCATGGTCCCACATGACATCCTGGTCTCCAAATTAGAGAGCTACGCATTTGATGGGTGCACCATTCAGTGGGTAAGGAGTTGGCTTGAAGGTCACATGCAGAGAGTGGTGCTCAATGGCTCTATGTCCAAGTAGAGGCTGGTGATGAGTGGTATAGCTCACGGGTCTGTCTTGGGACTGGTACAGTTTAATATCTTTATCAATGACATAGTGGGATCGAGTGCACCCTCAGCAAGTGTGCAGATGACACCAAGCTGAGTGGTGTAGTTGATGCAACAGAGGAAGGGGTGCCAACCAAAGAGTGCTGGACAAGATTGAAATTTGGGTCCCTGTGAATCTAAGGAAGTTCAACAAGTCCAAGTACAAGATGCTGCACCTGGGCTCAGGAAATCCCAGACATGAGGATAGGCTGGGAGAAGAACTCATTGAGAGGAGCCCTGCTGGGAGGTACTTGGGAGTTCTGCTGGACAAAAAGCTCAACATGAGCCAGCAGTGTGCCCTTGTGGCCCAGAAGGCCAATTGTATCCTGAGCTGCATCAGCAGAGGAGTGGCCAGCAGGTGGAGGCAGGTGATTCACCCCTTCTACTCTACCTTGTGAGCTCATCTTGGAGTCCTACATCCAGGACTGGTGCCGCCAGCACAAGAAGGGTGTGGGTCTGTTAGAATGGGTCTAGAGGAGGGCCACGAAGATGATCAAGGGGCTGGAATACCTCTCCTATGAAGAAAGGCTGAGAGAGCTGAGGCTGTCCAGCCTGCAGAATAAAAGGTTCCCAGATGACCTCATCGCAGCCTTCCAGTACTTAAAGGGGGATTATAAAAAAAATGGAGAGTGACTCTTTGTTCAAGGACATCACAGTCCCTGCCCTGCCCCAAGGGGACAAACAGCTGAAGTTAGGGATAGGAGTGGGTTTGAAGATGAGATGTGTTGTGTGTGTGGTGGAGGGTTAGGTGGTCAATTTAACATTTAGGGATTAGAGGTCAACTTCTAGGGCTAATGTAATGGAAGGGCTTTGAGGGAGGGATTGGTGTTCTGCTCAAGATGCCTGCTCAAGGTGTAAGAAAAGGGCAAACCTTGTGGTTTAAAGTTTTGTTTAGTTGTTGGGTGAGGGCTGGGGTTAACGCTCGCGTTCTAATTCATGATTAGGCTTAATCATCCATCTGCTTAGCCTTGAAGTAGAAGATGCTTTCGACATCTGCCTTTTCCACGTCCCGAGGAACCTCTTTGATCAATCTGTCCTTTCCAAGGTCTTTGAGATAGGTCTTATGACGACGTCTGCAATTCCACCAGCACATCTCTCACCCTTCCCATACTACCTATAAGCAACCCTAGGACTGACAGGGGGATGATGAAGGTATGAGAAAGGGCTTGGTTAAAACCTCTGACTACAGCCTTTATGGGCTTTACAGAGACAGTGACAATGGTGTCATAGAAAACAATGACACTCGTGAGGACAGAAGAGCAGGTGGATAAGGCCTTGGGCTTGTCAACAGAGGATGCACGCACTTGAAAACTGCAGGAAACAGAAGAGGAAGATGATCCAAAGGAAGGAAGGAAGGAAGGAAAGAAGGAAGGAAGAAAGATCCAAAATGTAGATTATGAAAGGAAAGACCATGAGTATCATTGTGGCACTGCAGGAGAGCTCCAGCAATGGGGCAAAACCACAGAAGGTGTCTATGACACTGGGGCCACAGAACTGTAGCTGGGAGGAGGAGAAAGAATTACTGCACATGAGAGAAATTCCCCTGGTTCAGGTACAGCTGCCTTCTGGAGCCAGACCTTCCACTTCTCAAGCCTTGCAGAGAACAGGGGTGGCATACAGCCCAGGGCTGACCATAGGACATGGCCCCCAGCAGGAAGCACTGCAGTCATGCAGAAGGTGCAGCTGAGAGTGTTGTCCCCCTTTGCTCACAGAGGTTGGAGCACTGTCTCCCCCATGTGGTGTCTCCCCTGTGTGGAGTACGGTGCCTTGTCTCCCCCACCGCACGGCCTTGACTCCTTGTCTCTTCTGGGCCCCACCTTCCACACCCAAATGTGTCCCTTGGCTGTCAGCTCCCTCTCCCCTGCCCTGGGTACTAAGCTGGAGCAGACAGGTTACCATTAGATGTGGTGGTGCTTGTGTAATTCACATTGGTGATGGCACAAATGACAGTTCCTTCACCAGTGATGTACATCTTTCTTCGTGTTAGGACATAACTCAATGTCCTTCACTCTGCTTTGTCACACTGATGAACAGAACCTGGTCTCCTTGATTATTCTGAGGCACAATGCAACGTTTTTTGCCTTCTACTACTCCAGCACATTATGTGTGACTTTCCCTTACTCTGCACATTCACCTGCAGGATCATTTCACATGTTTTGCTTTCAAAACCTTAGCTGGACCAAGAGCATTTCCAAAGTGGGGCAAGCTGATGGGTTCTGCCTCAGCCATTTCGAGCATGCTATACTTGAGTTTTTCAGCCTGAGTTTGCTAAAGATGACCCAGGAAGGTAAACGGATGTTCACGTGTCTAGTAGGAATAAGGGAGAGGGTCTCATGTTTCCAATGGCCATTTCAAATCTAGGTCAATCTCAGGAACCCACTGAAAAAGAGGTTTGTCTTTGAAGGGGTTTCCTGTGCTGGACTGGGCTGCAGTTGCAGAGACAAAGACCACTGTTGGCAGTGGAGTTGCCCTGGGAACTCCACCTGGCTCCACCTGATTTTCCCAAAGGGTTCCTGCCTCCTGTAGGTCTTTTCTGACATCTGTCAGTCCAGGCAAGTGCCTTAAACACAACGGGACCACTGGAGGTTTTCCCTGGTTAGACAGCAATGCTCTGCCTGAGTACTCAGTTATTACTTTAGTTCTTATCTAATAAAGCAACTATTCATCAGCTCAAATGATTCAATTCCTTCTGTAAAATGTCTCAAGTGAAGTGTAATTTCAATCAAGAAGAAATTATAATTTCCATGATCTATACTCATCTCAGAAGAAGAAATACAGATAATCTCCTTTACTTGCATTCTCATCACTTTGTCTATCATGGTGTGCTCCCTCATCTTCCAGGGACAACACCCATCTTGATTACACAGACCCTGCTGAATGTCCCATTTCCACCTGCCTGTCTGAACCCATGCACTTCCCATGGTTCTCCTGGTTTGCCCTCCCCTTACTCTTTGACTATTCAGACCTCTCTCACCAACCCAGTTGCTGCTGTGAGATTCAGTGAGTTCAAGCTCGCCCATCTCTCAGCAGTCTTGAATGGTTTCCTTAGCAAGAACCTCATAATTTATCATTGAATTTGTATGATATGGATTAATATTAACACAATTACTTAAAATTTCCTATTACTCACTGAAAAATACATCATGTACGGTCATCCTTTTGGGAAGGTAAAAATCACTGGAGGCAACAAAATGAGGAACTTGAGCTTTGTTTTTTTTTTTTTTTTTGAAAATTGCATCATGATTTCCTGTTGTTTGTTTTGAAATAGGAAAAACCCTGTTCTTCCCATCCAATCAGGACTTCAAAGGAGAAACCCTAGACCAATACCTATAGGAGAATGATGCTCTAAGCAGAAACACATCAAAATTCAGCCTTTAAAATGGGAAAAGATTTTTATTAGATGCTCTTTGAAATCTTCCCCCTTAACTACAACATGAAAGTTCTCCAATTAGCTGAACAAGTCTTCAATACTTGAAGAAAATGATGGGAGAGATATGGCTCCTTAGGAGTTTGTGTGTTTTAATGAGTTCCATGGAGTATTTTGGTGCTGAGTCAAAGAAACTTGGGTACTGAGAGGAGAATGATGCAATTGAACGAAAAAGCAAACTCAAAAGGACAAGTTGAAGTGACTTGGAGTCTTAATGGGCCCCACTAAGGGCTGTTACTAACAAAGCCTCCCCAGGCACATGTTAGGACAGATAATTGGAGGCCATGATTACAGAGAGGCAAAGCACTGTGCTGAGAAAAGTCTTGCTTGGTTTTGGTGATGCAGAAGGTCCAAGACCTGACCCCAGCCACTGGGAGGAAAGATCCTGCACCCCCTGACTTTTCCTGGGGATCTGAGGAATGTGGTGGGCAGTGTGATGCCACGAGAGGAAAACTGATATGACACCTCCCTGCCTCTGCACAGGGTTGCAAGGAAACAAAGAGGCTGCATTGCAATGACTATATCTCATTTTCTCAAAACCTCTAGCCAAAGTATCAGGACTGTTGGAGCCTTCCCTTTTTATCAGCAACCTCTGTCTTTTCCTCTGCATGCTTCCCTGTGCTGTCCCACACTTTTTCCTATTTCCTGGAAGTCTGCAGACAGCCATCTCTGTTCACCACCTTGTTCTCATCCCAGCATTTCCATCATTTTACCAACGTCTCATCAACCCTCACCAGCTGTTCCTTGAGAAACGAAGCTAGGGTCTGATCATAGATATTGAGCAGCAGCTTCCAAGCCAGGGGCCTGCTGCTGGCCTTGCAGCTTCTTGGCTACACACAGCCAAGCCTTGTGCCTGCTGCTGTGCAGTCATGGACTCAAGCAGAAGGGACAGGGCAACCCATGTTGGGGCCTTCTTTCTGTCTAGGTCCTCTTGGGTGTGTAGGCAGAGGGGATCCCCCAGTCAGCATGCCAAGCAGGTGCCTTCTGCTGGCCTAGCAGGGCCACTGCCAGATGTCAGCCCAAAAGTGCAGCTCCCAGGGAGAAGTCAAGGGTGACCTGCCACCTCCAGACACAAGTGACCTCACAGTCCCTTTCTGTGACACGTTCCTGCTGCTGCCCTATCAAGTGCAGAGACAGAAGTGACCTCACAGTCCCTGCCACAGTCACATTCCTTCTGCTGGGGCAGGAGATCCTGAGGTAGGGCTCAGAGGATTCCCACCCATCTCCTCCTTGTGGCCCAGAAGCTGATCAGACCCATGGCCCCTCACATTCATGTTTGAATGCCAAGCGATTGCACAGCAGTCTCACAGTTCTTCTCCTGCAACAAGGGGATAAGCACCTTAAGTTAAGGTTCAGGAGAGGGGCTGAAGATGATGAGGTTCATGCACAGTAACAGAGGCTTTGGGTGTTAGGTGTGGCATTAGGGAACAAGGCTCACCTTTCTGAATTAGAGTTTAGCCTCTAGTTTTAGAATTTTAGTGGAAGACTTGTGTGTGCTGCCTGGGGTGTCAAGCCTGTGGTTAAGTTATTGGCAAGCTTTGCGATTTAGGATTTTGTTCAGGTCTGCCTAGAAGTCCAGGGTTAAATTCAGCCTTTTAATGCTAGTGTTAAGGACAGGGATCAGGGTGAGCAATAGAATAAAGTTAAGAGAAAGAGGCTATGGGCTGAATTTTGACTTCAAAGGAATCTTTGAGTTCAGACATTGGAGTAGTGGATTCCTGTCAGGGTGTGGATCAGCCTTTAGATTTTTGACTTAAGGTTACTGATTTAAAGTGGGGAAGGGCCGCATATGGTTGTTTTAGGTCACGGTTACTGCAGCATCAGCATAACCTGAACCCTCTTACTTCTACAAATCCTTGATTTCTGCTGGCCAAGACCCTATTCCCTCCCCCAAATCTCACATCTCTCCTGTCCAGCCTTCTCCTGACCTCCCCATATGAGACATCTCATTGGGATCAGCTTTCTGATGGCTTTCATGATCTCAGAGTATCCATCACACCTCTGTTGGCTACTCCATGTCAGAGAAAAGCACCACTTAATACACGATGGAAAAGGACACAAATGTCCATCAGAGCACCCTGCACAATGTGCCCAGAAGCTCTGCACCATCACAAAAGTGCAGTTCCTGCCTCCATGTTTTCTTTCCAGAATGGCTCCTATGGCTCCAGGGTAACTTTACCCAGGCACTCAGTTCCCCAGGCCACACCACTCTTGCCCGCAGGCCCCACGTGTCTCTCCAAGCCTCCCCTCCTCCCCTGCAGTAGTGGCACCTCACTGCAGCAGGTTGGTGCATCTCCAGGCTCAGGGTTGTTTGCTGAGGGCCTGCCCCGTGTGGGGAGTGGTGGGGAGGAAGAGAGCAAGGTCATCTCCTGGGGCATGGCTGAGCACAGCCCAGCCATCCTGCACCGCGGGCAGGCCCCTGCTCCCAGGCTGAGGCACACATGCAAGGTGGACACTTCTCCATCCACCCAGCTTCACGCTGGGTCCGTCAGCCCTGCCCCAGTCTCAGGACTGACCTCGTCTTCCTAGTCCACCCACAGACAGCTGCTAAAGCCATGAGTGTCCTTGTTTCTCACAGCCCTCTCACAAGTCTTTCTCCTGGCCCTCCCCACTGCCCAGCACTGCCTCTCAGGTGGCACTCAGTGA